AAGGTGTGCAAGGCCTGAGCAGGCGCAGTACCAGGGAGAGTACCAGACTCACTAGCACTTAGAGCAGCAGCAGCTATACCTGGGTCAGGCGGCACACACTGGTAACAGTCACCCTCAACACTAACAGACAAAGCATACCTAGCAGAAAGAATAGCATCAAAGTCTAGGTCAAAGATAGCAATCCTAGACCTAAGCAGATTTGCCCAGCGAGGGAGCTCAACGTCGTCACCAAACTCAGCACGCCAAGCGTCGTCGAGGCGGGAGAAGCAGCGGTGCTGAGTGTGAAGCTTCCCGCATGTCTGACCAGCACGAGCACCCATGCGAATGACATACGGGCAGCTATCACTACCCCCAGACGTCCCACGCTGAACTAACCACTCAGGAAGCTGCTGGGGCGACGGGGTCTCGCTCCGACGCTGCTGTTGCTGCCGCTGGCCACCACCAGGGCCTCCACGCCGAGCGCCAGTCCCACCGCCACCAGACCCACCGCCGCCACTGCCACCACTCCCACAGCTGCCTCCACCGCCGCCACCAACACCCCCACTCCCGCCACCACTCCCACCGCTGCCACCACATCCACTGCCTCCACCACCTCCACTGCTGCCCCCAACACCACTCCCGCTGCCCCCTCCACCACCCTTGCTACCCTTGCCCTTGCCGCTGCGGCGCTTCGTACTAGCAGAAGCAGCTCCGACGTCCTCTGCACCAGGGACGTCTGCAGCAGCGGCAGAGGCGTAAGAGGGGGCAAGGGGGGAGGGGGAGCACCCCTCAAAGAAGGGCGGGCGCGGAGTGCCACGAGCAGCACCTACAGCAACTGCACTAGTCTCAGCTGCGAGGAGATGCTGCTCTAGGAGGTCAACAGTGATGGAGGTGGGGTCAAGGGAGAGAAAGTGGTCCCTGACAGAGCGAAGAGAGTCAGGGAGGCGAGTGACTATGAAGTAGAGGGTGATGAACATCGGGGGCTGGTTCTTGTCAAGAAACTCAGCAGGGACGATAGCGCGGTACCGAGCGTCGCTAGTGCGCATGTGGGAAACCAGGTCCTCTACTGTGGCAAAGGCTGACAGCTCGGAGAACAGGTAGGGCAGAAGCAGGCGACCTAGAGCAGCAGTGGCAGGCGAGGAGTAGCGGGCGACTACAGCAGCGTACAGTGCCTGGGCTGTCCTGTGCTGTCCAAAGTGGGCGCATTCGGCTAATGGCAGGTGGTTGCGAATGGCCAAGCGGGCAGCAGCGTCACGAGTAAGCCACTGTGAGCGAGTCGCTTTGTCAGCTGTGGCGGGAGGGGCAGGAGCGGCGCCTGACGCAAGGTCAAACAGCGAAACACTGTCCTTAGAATCGCTCAGTAGGTACAGCTGCAGGTCGTCGAGCCACGTGTCAAACTGAACCAGTCTTCCCTCATGATCGAACGCGAGAACCCTAAGCGAAGCCATAGCTGTGCAGCACGCAGGAGCAGCTGCAGCATCGGTAGCAGTTGTAGCAGTAGCAGCAGTAGTAGCAGCAGGGACAGTGAGGCCAAGGGGCCGAGGGGCCTGGGGCCTAGGGGCCGAGGGGCCGAGGGGCAAGGCCGAGGGGCCAAACACGAAGGGGGGGGGGGCTAGGGGCCGAGGGGCCAAGGGGCCGAGGGGCCGAGGGGCGGGGCCGAGGGGCCAAACACGAAGGGGGGGGGGGGGGGGGGGCGTAGGGGCTGAGGGGCCAAGGGGCCGAGGGGCCAAGGGGCCGAGGGGCGGGGTGCGCGGGCTAGGGGTCGACGGGGCCGGGTGCGCGGGCTAGGGGTCAACGGGGCCGGGCGCGGGGCTAGGGGTCGACGGGGCCGTGCGCGGGGCTAGGGGTCGACGAGGCCGGGGGCGCAGGCTAGGGGTCGACGGGGCCGGGCGCGGGGCTAGGGGTCGACGGGGCCGAGCGCGGGCTAGGGGTCGAGGGGGCCGGGCGCGGGGCTAGGGGTCGACGGGGCTGGGCGCGGGCTAGGGGTCGACGGGCCGTGGGCGCGGGCTAGGGGTCGACGGGCCGGGCGCGGGCTAGGGGTCGACGGGGCCGGGCGCGGGGCTAGGGGTCGACGGGGCCGGGCGCGGGGCTAGGGGTCGACGGGGCCAGGCGCGGGGGTAGGGGTCGACGGGGCCGGGGGCGCGGGCTAGGGGTCGACGGGGCCGGGCACGGGGCTAGGGGTCGACGGGGCCGGGCGCGGGGCTAGTTGTCGACGGGGCCGGGCGCGGGCTAGGGGTCGACGGGCCGTGGGCGCGGGCTAGGGGTCGACGGGCCGGGCGCGGGGCTAGGGGTCGACGGGGTCGCTCGCGGGGCTAGGGGTCGACGGGGCCGGGCACGGGGCTAGGGGTCGACGGGGCCGGGCGCGGGGCTAGTTGTCGACGGGGCCGGGCGCGGGCTAGGGGTCGACGGGCCGTGGGCGCGGGCTAGGGGTCGACGGGCCGGGCGCGGGGCTAGGGGTCGACGGGGTCGCTTGCGGGGCTAGGGGTCGACGGGGCCGAGCGCAGGGCTAGGGGTCGACGAGGCCGGGCGCGGGGCTAGGGGTCGACGGGGCCGGGCGCGGGCTAAGGGTCGGCGGGCCAGGCGCGGGGCTAGGGGTCGACGGGGCCGGGGGTGCAGGCTAGGGATCGACGGGCCGGGCGCACGGGCTAGGGGCGAAGGGCCTACGGGCGGGGCCTAGGGGCCTGGCCTAGGGGTCGACAGGTCGCGACGAGCAGTAGGGGCAGCACGAGGGCTGGAGAGGGCGTCTAGCGGGGTAGCGCTGTGGTGGGCCCAAGGAAAAGCGGTCCTAGCGGAGGACCTGCTCTGAAACCATGTCAGAATAATGAACAAGGATGAATGAGCTATGAAAGAGTTGGGTACAAGTACTAACCCTAATTGGGTTGTACCCCTTATGGGCTACCCCACTATAGCCTACACAAATGTAAAAGCTATAATGTTCTGACACCGCGATACGAAATTTACCAGCAATTTCTGGCGGAACATGTGGCAGCAGTTCGGCACGAGACTACAGTTTAGTTCTTCATACCACCCCGAAACCGACGGACAGACAGAACGGACAAATCAGACCATGGAACAATTAATCCGAGCCACGTGCGACGATCCGACCACCTGGGAACAGCAGCTGCCACTCATCGATTTCGCGTACAACAACTCGCCATCCGCCACGACCCAACAATCACCGTTTTACCTGAACTACGGACAAGACCATACAGTACCCATGACTCCGAATCCCGACAACCCAGTATCACGTGCGCAACAATTCGCAGAAATATTACAAGCTGCACGAACCAGGGCAGCCGAGGCAATAAAAAAGGCCAACGCCATCGCTAAACGTAGCACCGACCGCCACCGCAGACCTGTCACTTACCAGCCTGACGACTTCGTCTTACTCGACACTCAAAACCTCCGTCTGCCCATAACCCCGAAACTCCGCCCCCGATATTGCGGGCCATTTCGCATCAGCCACATGATCACACCTGTCACAGCCCACCTCTTCCTTCCTGCTGATTGGTATGTCAGCCCGTCCTTCCACGTCAGCCTGCTTCCCTACGTCCCATCCACCAGCCAACTGGCCCGAAATCGCCCAGCCAGCATGACACGACCACCAACATAACTAGTCATCACGCCCGAGAAGATTATGAGCCACCGAGTTCGTGACCCACGAGGAGCTCGAAGGGTCGAATTCCTGATCCGCTGGAGAGACCGCACGCCCACCGATGACAGTTGGGTTCCCCTGGACAGAATCGAAAACCACCCTGTCCTCACCGAGTATCTGCGCAGCCGGAATTTCCGGGATGTACACGCGCTTTCGTAAGAGAGACCTCCTTAAGGGGGGGGGTAGTGTAAGGAAAATTCCTTTTCCTTACTTCGCGTCCCTGCTCAGCACGTACACCACTGTTCCCGCCAACAGCACCCCACAATAATTCGTTACCACTCGCGACATTCGCCTCGACCCCATTCCCGCCACTGTTCACGATGCGACCCAACCTCACGGTTCGGTTGGTAACCTGTGCTCCGGACCTCCGCCTCGACATTCCCCAACCTCGGCACCAGGCCCGTCGCGCACCCCACTTTTCCACACGTTGCCGTTACCACTGTAGCTTCGCTATATATTCTTCGCTCAAAACCTTCGCTCGTTGTATCTCGTCTCGATAGTGCAATCCTCGCTCGCTCACTTCATTGCACTCGTAACACATAGCTTCAGCATTCGTTTGAAATTTCGGAAAAAAAAAAAAAAAAAAAAAAAAAAAAAAAAAAAAAAAAAAAAAAAAAAACTGCCCATCTGAACGTCAGACGAAACGTTTTTTTTTTTTTTTTTTTTTTTTTTTTTTTTTTTTTTTCAGATAGGCCTATATCCTAGCAAGAGCCCTGATTGTGACCCTCGATTGAATTTGCAAGAAGGAGATGTAGAATTTGGTGTATTTAAATTATTCATCTGAAGTTGTCCTTATATAAGCGCATGCGCTTATAAAATTGACTCAATTATAAGCGCACCCCCCTAAAAAGTACTGTTTTATTATAAGCGCACCTGCCCTTCTATCAGGGGTGATTCGGTATCAATGGTGCTGCCTGTTGTTCCATCAGAACATGGTAAGGTAACAGCAGGCAGTAGTTGAAAGAGACAATCAAATATTTGTGAATAGACAGTAGGGCAGTATGCCCTGATCATGTTACATAAGTCGCACAGATGTTAAATGCACACAAACAGCAGTGCAACTCAGTAAAACTTGCTGGCATACCTTAGGCAAGTTTGGAGATGTCTCAAACCTTTTTAGACATCTTCCAAACTTGGGTGTACACCTTGTTTTTAAGGTAGTACACTGTGTAAGCTTTGCAGCACGAGCAACTGTGCTGTCAGCAATTGTACTTAAGGTCATTGTGCAATGGTAGCACCCATGCACATCCACACACGCACACACACACAGACACACGCGCGCGCGCGCACACACACACACGCACGCACACACACACACACACACACACACACACACACACACACACACACACACACACACAAAACGTTACATCTCCATCCCACACTCTCCACCTCCCTCCACCATTCCCCCCATCCCTTCCTCCCCACCACCCCGCAATTGTACTTAAGGTCATTGTGCAATGGTAGCACCCATGCACATCCACACACGCACACACACACAGACACACGCACGCGCGCGCACACACACACACGCACACACACACAGACACACGCGCGCGCGCACACACACACGCACACACACACACACACACACACACACACACAAAACGTCACATCTCCATCCCACACTCTCCACCTCCCTCCACCATTCCCCCCATCCCTTCCTCCCCACCACCCCGCAACCCTTCCCCTCCCCCCACCATCCCCCCCCCACCCCTCTCCTTCATTTCCCCGGCCAACATCTCCCCCTGAAGCGCCTTGAGCGAAGACCCAGTGTGCGCCTTGCGGCGTTTGTAGCTGGCCTTGAAGCAGACCTGCCTGAGCGTCTTGATGCGCGGGTCCAGCCCCTGCTTCGGGTCCTTCCCCAGCAGCTCCTTCTTCGCTTCCAGCTGCTCCACTGTTTCTGCCGCCATCGGCCCGTGAATCTCCTGCGGTTGAAAAGGGTTCGGAGGGGTGGGAGGATTTGGAGGGGTATAACAGAGGGGAGGGAACCCTGATTGGACTCGAAAAGTCATGAATCCGTGAATTAGCTGTGGTTGTGAAGAATAGAGAGCCAACGAGCAGAGAGAAGAGAGCGGACGGGAAAGGGAAGAGAGCAGAGAGCAGAGAAGCAGAGCAGCAGAGAAGCAGCCTGAGCAGCAACACTATCCACTACACTACAAGCATACCTTCATGTTCTCTATAAGGTTGTCGAGGGACTTGAGCTTGCGGTGCGGCCATCGCTGTATGCCGAGCTCACGGCAACGCTTCTTGAGTACGGTCAACCCCACCCCCAGCACACGCGCCGCGTTCTGAATGCTCATGCGGAAATACTGCAGTGGGATGCGGTGGGATGGGGTGGGATGGGGTGGGATGAGGTGGGATGGGGGATAGGAAACCTTTGAGATGTCTGAAAAGACTCTAGTCACAAGTGCTGGGTTCTCAATGATCATGCGAGATATGGAATGGGAGGGACGGGGGAGAACGGATGGGAGGATGAATGGGTAACGAGGGATGGAGAAGGGGGATGGGTGATGGAAGGCAGCGGGGAGGGCAAGAGAGAATGCAGGTCAACAAGGGAAATTTCAAGCTCTCGCCCCTCCCTCCCATCCCTCCCTCCCATCCCTCCCTCCCACCCCTCCCATCCCTCCCCATCCCGCCCACTCACCTGAGAGAGCTCGTCCAACTGCATCTCATTCAACCGCTCTGACGGCGACCGTAGGGACCGCCTCAGCACCCCATCAATCGCACCGCTCCCTCCCGCCGCCTCGCCCCCACCACCGCTCGTAACCCCAGCACCACCGCTCCCAACCCCAGCAGCACCACCCATCTCCTCGTTGATTGCACCAGTCTCCACCGTCTCCAACCCCTCCACCTTGTTCCCCACCTGAAGGCTCCCCGCGTTAACTTGACCCTGGGATTGACCCTTGGATTGGCCCTCAAATCGACCCACTTGACCCAACGCGGGAAACTGTGTGTGCTGCTGCTTCAGGTCCCCAAGAGCCGCATTGCCTCCCTGCCCTCCAGCCCAATGCACAAGGCCTTGCTTCACCTCACCCGCCCCCGTCACTCCTGCAGTTCCTGCTGCTGCTGCTGCTGCTGCTGCTGCTGCTGCTGCTGCTCCTCCTCCTCCTCCTCCTCCTCCTCCTCCTCCTCCTCCTCCTCCTCCTCCTCCTCCTCCTCCTCCTCCTCCTCCTCCTCCTCCTCCTCCTCCTCCTCCTGTTGCTGCTGCAGCTGCGACTGCAGCAGCAGCTGATGGTGAGAAAAACTCTCCTTTGATCCTGGACGGAAGAATATCCACCTGTGCTCCACGTGCTGCTCCTCCCGCTCCTGCTTCAAAACCACCACCACCACCACCACCATCCACTCCACCTCCTCCTCCTCTCTCACCCTTCTCCTCCCCCAAGGATCCCGCCACCACTCCTACAGCAGAGAACATGTCGTTCAGTCTCTGCTCCATCGGGTTCAACTGCCTCACGTCCTGTGTGTTTGCCCTAAAGGAAGGCATTGGGTTCTCTTGTTGTGAAGCCTGGGTGAGAGCGTAGAGAAAGCTTCCATGCACTGACACATCGGCAGCAGAATCGAGCCCTGCAACAGCAGCAGCAGCAGCAGCAGCAGAGCCAGTAGCGTTGGTTGCACAAGGAGACTCGGAGAAATAAGAGGAGGAAGGAGAGGAAGCCGCAGCAGCGGCAGCAGCAGCAGCAGCAGCAGCAGTGGCGGCAGCAGCAGTATTCGCGGCACCAGCAGCCACAGCAGCGTTGGGATGAGAAGCAGTCAAACCACCACCAGTCGCAGCAGCAGCAACTGCAGCAGAAGCAGCAGCAGCAGCAGCAGCAGCAGCAGCAGTGGATGGAGGAGGTGACGGAGTATACATTGGAAGCATGTGCATCATATCTACATCAATTGGACAGCTGGAGAGAAGAAGGCTCACGAAATTAGTGGCACCACCATGCCTACCCTCACTCTCACTTGTACCCCCCTCCGCATTACCACCCCCCTCATCCTTGTCCCCCCCCGCTTTATCCCCCTCGGTATCCCCCTTACACTGCCTGCTGTACTCCTTATAGCAATCTTCCGTTTCCATTTTGTGCTGAATTCCATCACCCCCCGTGTTAACTCCTGTATGGCCATTCATGGTCGAAATCATATGGCCACCCATGTTGCTATGCCCATCCAAACGCATGCCAGAGCCCATACCCATGCCCATTCCCATTCCGGTACCCATGCCCATGCCAGTCTGCGCCTGTGCTTGTGCCTGTGCATGTGCCTGTGCCTGTGCCTGAGCCTGTGCGTGGACTTGTGCTTGTGCCTGCCGCTGCAGCAGCAGCAGCTGTTCCGAGGTAGGGTAAGTCAGGGGGGTGGTGAGAACTGAAGCAGGTGATGTCAGGGGGAGGTAGGAACTGCCTTCAGCAGCAGCAACAGCAGCAGCAGCAGCAGCAGCAGCAGCTGCGGCAGCAGGGACAGTAGAAGCAGCAGTTGAGGCAGGTAGATTAGCAGCCATGGCTATAGTGGCTGCAGCTGAAGCGCTAGCATCACCATCAGCGGCAGCAGCAGCAGCACCAGCAGGAGGAGGAGAACGAGCAGAATTGAGCGAATCAAATACTGTAAAAGGGGCACCAGAAGCTGTTGCTGCTGCTGCTGCTGTAGCTGAAGCTGAAGCTGGAGCTATTGCTGTTGCAGCTGCTACATTAGCCGCAGAGAATGGCTGACTACGAGGAGGAGGGAGGAGAGGGGTATTCAAATGGGTGTTGGGGCTAGGTGGGCGGGAATTGGAATAAAAGGAGGGGCGGAAACGAGAAGCGGACGGGGGGAGGAGAGAGACATGGGAGGACGAGAGCGTGGAGGAAGAGAAAGGAGAGGGGGAGAAAGGGGAGGGGGAGAAGGGGGAGTGGGAGAAGGGGGAGGAGGAGAAAGTGGAAGGGGAGAGAGCGGATGGGAAGGGGGACGGAGGGAGGGAGGAGGAATGGAAGGAGGGGGGATGGAAGGTTGAGGGAGGATACGAGGAGGAAAGGAAAGTGGAAGGAGGGAAGGAGGCAGCAGGGAAGGCAGAATAGGGACGAACAGTATTGGCTGAGTGCGGGGGGGACGGGAGAGAAGCGGAGGAGAGACGGGTGGATGAGGAGGAATGGGTAAGCGCAGCAGCAACAGCAGCAGAAGCAGAAGTGGTTGGGGGGAAGACAAAGGGTCTTGGTCCAGAGAACATGGGTTGAGATGGGAGAGGGGCGGAAAGCGAGGGGGATTGAGGGAAAGTGGTCGGGAATTGGGTGAGCGGACGGGGGAATGGTTGCGAGGCGTTGAATGGAGCAGTATGGGAGATGCACGATGCTGCAGTAGCGGCGGGAGGAGCGGCAGGAGTAGGAGTGGGAGGAAGAGGAGCGGGCGGAGCAGCAGGAGCAGCAGCCGAAGGAAGAGCCGGTGTAACATCATCAGTACTGTTCATCCTGCCGCTGCTATCAAGGCCTGAAGACAGAAACCCATCAGCGTTTGAGTCGCCATTGCTTCTCTTACGGCCGCTGTTCTCCCTATAAGGCAATGCACCATAAGAGTAACGAGGACGGCCGTCCTCATGAGTAGCTCCCTCGTTTGTAGTTACCGCACCAAAACCATCTGAACCGTTAAGAGTCGAGCCGTTGCCCGGTCGACACCCCCCCAGAAAGTGCAAGGGGGAGAGGGGATAGTGGGTGGCAAAGGAAGGGGAGAGAAGGAAGGAGGAGGGAGAGAGGAGGGCCATAGGAGAGAGCAGACCAGAGCCATGCTCTTCTCCTTCCATTCCGTGCACAGTTAGCGCAGCTGTCGACGCTGCTGCTGCTGCTGCTGTTCCTGGTGCTGCTGTTAGAGCTGATGGCGATGGTAGTACTGTTGGTGGTGCAACTCGTGGGGTTAGAACCAACTGTCCCACTGCTTCACTCCTCTCATCAGCAGATCTCTCATCGACGCTCCTCATTCTGCTGCCTCCCTGTGTTTCCTTCCCCTCACCATCCCCACCCTTCTCGCCCGTTCCCCTTCCCCCCACCACGCTTCCTTCTCTCAACGAAGCTTCCACACTAGCCAACACAGCCTCCACATCCATCCCCTCCCCTTTCCCCCTCCTTCCCTCCTCCTCCCCCTCCTCCCCTTCCTCTTCCTCCCCACCCACCTCCTCCCCCACCTCCCCCTCCTCTCCCTCCTTATGAGGCCTCAGCCACAGATTTCCATCTATACCACTGCTCACCCCACGGAACAACGACCCACCAGGAGTCCTCGCCTTCACTCGCCTCCTCATAATCTCCCCTCTGCTCTCCCCTCCCCTCCCCGACCCCTCTCCTCCCTCCCTTCCTCCTTCCCCTCCCTCCTTTCTTTCCGTTTCCAGTGACACGACTTGCCTCAGAGGCGGAGAGAGGGCGGGGGGCAGCGGGGGCGGTCCCAGATTAGCCCATCTGACTGGGGGTATTTCGACTCGTAGACTCGGGCGGCTGCGTCGGCCGCTGGGAGCAAGCTTGGATCGACGGGAGAGAGTAGCAGGGGAACCAGGAGCATAGGGAACACTGGCAGCAGCAGCAGCAGCGGCAGCAGCAGCAGCAGAAGCAGCAGAAGGAGAGCCAGCAGGAGGAGCGCTGGCTATGGTGCAAGGCCTCTGAATGGTTCCAAACACCCCTGCTGCAAGCGTATCAGCAGCAGCAGCAGAAGAAGAAGCCTTAGGAACAGGGAACATAGAACCTCCTCCTCCTACCCCTGCTGCTGCTGCTCCTCTTGCTCCTCCCCCACCCATCGTTCCAATCGACAGGCGAGAAACCGGGGTGGAGGCGAGAGGAGACGGCACAGCAGCAGCAGCGAAAGCAGAAGCAGAAGCGGTACCAGAGGCAGCAGCAGAGGCAGTACCAGAGGCACCAGTCGACACAGCCATGGACAGCGCAGCAGTGGCTTTCAGAAGGCTTCCAGACATCATTACAATCACACCGCCGCCCTGTGTGTCTTGACTGACTGATGCCGTGCTTGCACTCAGAAAACTTGAGGAGGACGCACTATAGTTGGTCGCATAGTCCGGGCCCTCGCCTCTCACTCCTGTGAAGCCCTCCCTCTGTGCTCCAGCGACAGCTGCAGCAGAAGGAGCAGCAGCAGCAGCAGCAGCAGCAGGAGCCGTCGCAGCAGCAGGGGTGCGAGAGGGAACGGGAGCAGCAGCAGCAGATGCAGCAGACGCAGCAGCTGCTGCTGCTGTCCGTCTTTCAAGCAGGAAAAGGCGCCTTCTAGGGCTCTTCACAGGGCTTCCTTCCAACAGTGCAATCTTCTCAATAGTCGGCCTCCGTTTCCTCTGCAACGGCTCCTCCGCCGAGCCTGGAGTCACAGCCTCGGGCCCAGGCTTCACACTAGTCTCGGGCGAGCAGCTCCCGAGGCTGCTGCTGGTGGCTCGGGGGAAGGCCAGGGTTGATGTTGATGTTAAGGCACTCGGGGGTTGCATGGGGGCGAGACAGGGGAGGGAGGTGCTCCGACGAATATGATTGCTGTTCATGCCGATCCAGGTGGTAGCAGGAGCAGGAGCAGGGGCAAGAGCAGGGGCAGGAGCAGCGGCAGGAGCAGGAGGAAGAGTCGCGGCAGGAGGCGGAGCAGGGCGGCGAGCTGGAGCAAGGGGTACAGGAAGTGAGAGCCTCATGCAAGGACGCGAGTGACAGCAATCTTGGTTCGCAAGATCAATGGGCAGAGCAGCAGGAGCAGGAGCAGTAACGTTGGTGGTAGTGGTGCCGGTGGTGGTGGTTGCTGTGGGGACAGCAGCCGTTGTAGCGGCAGCGGCAGTGGCAGGGGCAGGGGCAGTGGCAGTGGCAGGGGAGGGAACAAGGTGGCGAGAAGGCATGGGGAAAAGAGCAGGAGGAGAACACGAGGACGTTTGGTGCCGAACGTCCTCCTGAGCCTCTTCCCGAACCTCCTCGTGCATCTCCACGTGTACCACCTCCTGCACCTCCATCCGCATATCTCCATGAAACGTCAACTCCTGCTGCGCCTCATACGTCATCTCGCACCTCATCCTATTCGCCGCTTTCAAATCCCCAACCTCTGATATCCCCATATCATCTGCTGGTACCATCGCTGGTATTTCCTCCTGCCCTTCCTCCGGGGTCTTCCCTTGTGGTACTTCTGCTTGAGTATCTTTGTGTGGAGCAGCAGGAACCAAATCCATCTCCATGCCTCCAGTGCTGCTGCTGGTGATGCCACCAGCTAAAGCAGGTCCAGCTGCTGCCACCATCGCAGCAGGAGCAGCAGGAGCAACAGCTGCAGTGGTGGTGTTGGTGGCAGCAGAAGGAGCAGGAGAAGCAGTGGCGGCGGTGGTGTTAGCGTCTTGTGCTGGGTCGTTGGCAGAGGCATGGGTGCGAGTTGCCGCACAGTCAGTCTCCATGGGTACACCAGCAGTAGCAGCAGTGCAATCAAAAGCATCTACAGCAGCAGCAGCGGCAGCATCAGCAGCATCACGAGCATCAGCAGCATCACGAGCATCAGCAGGAGGACCGGGAGAAATCGTAGAAGCATCATTACCACGATCGGCCTCAGCAACAGCACCCCCATAAATATCAGCATCAGCGTCAGCGTCCGTATCAGAATCAGCATCCCCATCCCCATGCCCATTGTCATTGCCACTGCCATCGCCTTTACTGTCGAAATCCCCATCACAATCCTCAGCTGCAGCTAAGTCAGCATCAGCACCACCAGCATCAGCATCCTCATGACCATCAGCAGCAGGAGCAGCCAACTGCGGTTGCACCCACACGCGCGCTCCACGTGTGCCGCCAGTGCTCAGGGCTGAATGTATGTGAAGCACGTCCTGGAGTAGCGCCGGCACTCGGTGCAGGTCAGGGTTGCTGCAGCAGAGACGGTGGGAAGAGGTAAGAATGGACAAGGTGGGACGGGGCGAGAAGGACGCGGGGTGGGAAGAGGCGAGGAGAGGAGACGCGAGGGGGAGAGGCGAGGTGGGGAGAAGCAGGGAAGTGGCGAGGTGGGGAGAAGCGGGGGAGAGGCGAGGAGAGGGGAAGGGCGAGGAAGGAAGAGAAGAGGGGAGACGCGAGGCAAGGTGGGAATACGGACGTCACAAGGGATGAGGGAACACGGGACACAGAGGCGGGAGAGGGAGGGGAGAGACGGGAGGGAGGAGAAGGGGATATGGTGGGGAAGAGGGAGGGGAGGTGATGCATTAGATGGTAGCAATGACGCGGGGCGAGATGAAGGGAGAACGATCAAGAAGGATAGGTGTTCGAGGAACCAAGGAGAGTGAAAAGCAAGGGGATACTGGACAGCAGGGGACGAGGAGCGAGGAGGGAGGGGGGAGGGAGGGGGATGCGGGGGTGCAGACAACGGGCGTCTTTAAAGCAGGAGCAAAGGCATGGCAAGAGAAACGAAGGGTAGGAGCACAACACAGGATTTGGGAAATCGGGGAAACTGGGGAACGGGGAGGGTGGGGAGATGGGTTGGGCCGGGGGAAGTGGGGGGGATGTTGGTGGGGTGGGGTGGGGGAAAGAAGGCACGGGGAAGGAAAGAGGGGAGGAGCATGCACGAGGGGGTGCCATCAAGAAACCAGGTGGTAAAAGGGGAGGGGAGAGGCATACCTGTCAGGAGAGAGAGCAGGAGGCAAACGAGACGAAGGCGCTAAGCCGTCAGAGGAAGTTGGCGCGCTTATGCATGCTCCTTCCCTCATATATTCCCTTTCCCTTCCCCCTTCCCCCCCCCCTCCCCGTTCCCGTTCCCGTTCCCGTTCCTCGCCCCCGTCCCCGTCCCCGTACCCGTCCCCCTCCCCGTCCCCCTCCCCGCATCCCCCCCATGCGCTTCCCCCCGCGTTAAACTCCAGATACGGCAGCCATCCGTCCTCGATTCCCGCCGCGCGCGACGCGAGCAGGTGGCGCAGCGCGAGCGACGATCCGGCGCAATGAAACGAGTCGGGATCCGATTCCGTGTCGGTCGGCAGGCACGTGAAGGTCGGCCGGCCGTCGGGGGAACCGGGCGAGCTTATAGGGAGGATGAAGTTAAGTTGCGTGGAGACGAAGTGGTTCGGCGATACTTGATGTAGGTGGATCGAGAAAAAGATAACTGCGCGGGAAGGGAAACCAGGGCGGAAGGAGAAAACGGGAAGAAGGACAGGGGAGGAAGCGGAAGGACAAGGGAAGAAGCCATCAAAAACATGAATTCGCCTGCTAACGCCGTATCGGACCTCACGCGATTATATGGCCAAACATGACACCACGTCACCAAATCTGACCATCCACCGCTGTTGTTGAGCTAGTCTACCGTCACGATCACAGTCGCTGTTACCGTCACCGTCACCGACATCGTCACTGTCAACGTCCGCGTCGCTCTCACAATCAGCGTCAGCGACACCGTCCGTCGTACAGAATCACAGACTAGAAAAGCTCATTCACATAACAAGGAGAAGGAAAACCGGGCTGATAACTTTTGTACGCCGAAAGCCCTCCAACTCTCACACCGCATCACCCATCCCATCCCACCCCATCGCATCGCATCCAATCAAAGACCAGCCATCACAAATCTTATCCCATTCCAACCAATCACACCCCATCATCTCCCACCCAATATCCCATCCAACCCGCAAATTTACTTGGCGAAAAGCGATCTTGAAACACAACCAGCGACGTCAGCCCCAGCCCGTCGCTGCTTCCCCTTCGCCCCGTTCCCCGCAGCCCCAAATCCGTGTCCCGCGCGGCCGTCACGCCCGCAGTCCCCCAGGTCGCAACTTCCGTATCCGCCGTCGGCGCACGCGCAGGCATGCATGTCCCCGCAACGGTCATCGCCGCGTCGTCGTCGACTCGCATCGCCATCGTTGTTTCGCCTTCAGAAGCCGACGCGTCGCGTGCTTCCACCGTGACCTTGGTGCGAACCGCTGCGATGCATGTCGACTTCCCCGCACGCAGGTCCTCCGCGCCTGCTTCGACTTCGCGAGCCCCGTCCTTCGTCGTCGTTTGAGGCGACTGTGCGACGCAGTTTGTCGCACAGCCGTCTGCGACATCGCTTGCGTTTCCTAGCTCGTGCGCTGGCGTCGTCGGTATCGAAGCGCCAGCCGCGACAATTCCTCTGCCCGGACTCATAGCTTCCGTCACGTCAGGAAGTGCCGATAAAATCGCATGTTTGAACACTCTATCATCCTCGTTATTGCATTCACCGTAATCTACACTGCCCCTGGGGTACGCGGCTCGCTCGTAGCTTCCCGCAACTGTATCTCCACCCCAACTTCTCCGGTCGCCGCAACCCCCGACGGGGCTTGAGCTATTTCTGCCCGCGCTGCCGCGGAAATTTTCCCCGAAGCCATTTCCCCCCTGCTTGGTGCAGCCTGTTTCGGGTCGCGACGGCTCTGCGCCGCCGCCGCTGCCGCCGTGAGCGACGCGATGGGAGAAGACCGTGAGGGGTAGCGTGCCGTCGTTCATTCGCGCTGCTGCCGCCGCAATGGCCGTCAGCTGGTCTGCTTCCGCTGCGTGTTTGGCGTGAATCGCGGCCGTTCCCACCTTTGCCTCTGCCGCTGCGATCGCGCTTCGGAGATGTGTACAGTAACTATTAGAGCCGGCTTGATGGTCGCAGTTAGTAGCGCAGCGTCGATTGTAGCAGCAGCTGCTGCCGTTGCTGCTGCTGCTGCTGCTAGTGCTGGTGGCCGTCGAAACGCTGCTCGCACGGCAAACGTATGCTGTCGCAGCGCCTCTTCCGGCGGAGGTGCCACCGCCACCGCCACTGCGGCGACACGTGGGGAGCGGCCCCTGAACAAGTGGAGACATGAATTTCACGCGACGTGTCGTCGCGGTGACAAGCTCTGCGAGTCGAACGTGTCAGATTCCGTCTCAGAGATTTCTACCTAAGATTCTTAGACGATTATGACTCCTCACAATCATCAGGGCGATAATTTTTTGTCACGGTTTTGAGGGTGATCACTTCTCGTCACGGAGTGCTGTTTGTTTCACGACGTGTTCTTGAATGATAGAGCCAGTGGAGAGAAAATGTGATCGTCGTCGTCACGGTAATTACAGTTCGCGGTAATCAGTGATTAGTTCAACATACTCGCAGCGCTTCTGGCAGAAGAAAGTTGCTGGCGTTGATTGTCAGCACCATAGATGGACGAAATTTTAGTACACAGAGATTCTCTCAGCCAAGGATAGCAAGAACAAGAATGGATGATCATCAAATCACTGGCAGGCACACATGCCAGCAGCAGCAGTGCAGTGCACCCAAAGGGGGTAGCATTCAAGACTACAGACGCCAGCAGCACAACAGAAAGCAGTGGCAGGCGCAGCAGTGGCAGTGGGCGTGTGATCAGCGACCAAGCAATCTGCTGCGAGGTTCTCACACGTACAACAGGTCCAAGACAAGCAAGAGGAGGGAGATGGGAGGGGAGTGAGGAGAAGCGGAACCTAGAGCAGTTGATGTGGAGTGGAGTGGAGAGTGGTGCTGCTGCTGCTGCTGCACATGGAGGGTTAGAGGTGTTCAGAACCGCGAATCGTGTTGCTTGGCTGGGAAAGTGTCCACGCCAGACAAGTCGGGGAAACTGTCGAAGGGTTCTTCCTAGGTCAGAGGAAAATAACAGGAGGCTCTTCTCCCCTCCAGTCGCGTGGAAGAACAAGCTGGCGACTCGACTCAGTAAATGCACGCATGACACAAGAAGTTGGGTTTGGCGGTTAAAATCAGGTGTTGCTAAAAGTGAGAAGTTGGAAGTTCCAAGGTGACCTTTCTGGATTGGCTGTGCTTGAGGCTAATGGGTGATTTGGAACCAGCACCGTGTTTGCCAAGCTAATTACACCCATAACGTCTCAAAATCTGGGTGTGCTTGACATTTGGATTGATTTTCTGTTAGTACAAAGGCCTCGTCCGTGAATGGTGACACGATTGTTTTTGTCGGTACAGTACAAAAGTCTCGCCTGTGAACGGTGACACCACAAAAGCCATGCTTCAATTGTTGATCCATCCATCATATGCTTGGAGCTTGTTTTCCTCGACAGACTCTCCAAACACGCAGCCCAAAACCCAATTCCCCGTATCCATCCCCAGTGTGCTTGCACTCCCTCCCTCCCTCTCATCCCCAGCCTGCTTGCACTCTTCAGGGCGATTTCGTCGGTGACGACAGCCTACGACAACCCAGAGAGAGATCCAAAGCGTGACACAGTGGCTGCGGTTACCCTACAACTGATGACATCAGATACGCTAAAAATGTTTTCAAGAGAAAACTAACTACTTAGTTCCCAATCATATGCTGGCTTCAATTAATACTTTCCCAGAAGTGCTTTGGTGCTTATAAATTTTGTGCACTGCGAACTTTGGCGTCAGCAGGATGAAGTGCGTCTGATTTCCTCGCCTACTTTGAGTTGGGTCTAAGAAATATGTGTGACTCTTTAGGTTAGTAGTCAATTGTTTTGTGATGTTTTTCTATGCACACGCCGTACAGTGCATACATCAGCAGTCTGTGCGTAACACTGGTTTTCACACATCTGGGTACGTCTGTTTAATACCCCGTGAAATTCGTTCGTACTCGAACACTACATTCCATGGCCTCGAGCGAGATAAAGCATCCAAACGAACCATTACTGTGGTGGTTGCTTGCACCTCACTAAGGAGCTGTAGCACGCTAGGACGAAGTGAAGGATGCTACAATGGCATCATCAGATTGATGAGTACAAATGTTCTCGTTTTTAGTCTGACGGAATGAGACGCCACGCGCGGACCATGTGCGAAAACCTTCAAACCCCGGGCAAAACGCGATCCGTTCAAGAACATTGCATGAAGAGTGGTTTGTTTGCTACTATTTTTTGAATTTCGTCTTTTACGTAGATTCGGACCACGCTTGCTTCAACTTCTCGTTGCACGGTTCCCCGCGCTGATAAATGTCCACATGACTAACGGAAAAAAAAACAACTATGGTTTGGGGTCGAATAGAAGGTTAAAAACTTCAATTTTACCCTGTAAGCGAGATAAATGAGATGTCATCGTCGAGCGCGCTGGAGACCGCGCGACAGGATTGAAAATTAATGACGGTCAAGAGAAACAACTACTTACAATTTTAAAGTTAAATATCGAATAGATTATCACTTACTTATCGTTCTCCCTGAATGTTGGGCTGGTTCGATCTGGAGCATCTGATTGGCTGCGGAGCTGATTCGTGCAATGATTCGGTCAAGCTGCAAAAATACTGCCAAAAAAGGGGTCGCACCAATCCTAGGCGACATCGGAAAACTCTACTCAAGGGGGAGAAGGGACTCTTTTAGCAAAGGCCTCTAACCTGGAACATTTGTAGTTTACTGTACAGAGATATGTACGGCAGTGTAGTTTGAGCCACACCAATAGATTTTGCTGATACAGTACGAATGAAAAAGCATCGCGACTCGGGAGTTCTGTTTGCATTTTGGCGGGAAGCTGCCCTTTTGGGACCAGGCAAACGGCAGACCGTGCTGAATGCGCAGAGCGCCACAGGTCAAGTTTCTCGAAGGGCTATGGCTGCAATGCAAGTGTCAACCAAGGGAAATTCGCGTATCAAATCAAATTAGTTGCATATGGATTTCGTTACAGTCGCACAGGTTTCGAAGCTTACGAGTGAGAAGTGATTGCCACTTCCTAAGCAGCTGTATTAGCTATGTTTCTCATTCCTACACTTTTTATTAGATTGTTTCGTTATAGCAGCTTAAACAGATGTGAATTAGGGAACAGATGTGTGTAAACAAAACACACAAAAACGCCAAAACAAAAAAAAAAAAAAAAAAACAGCAACAACAACAACAACAACAACAACAACAACAACAACAACAACAACAACAACAACAACAACAACAACAACAACAACAACAACAACAACAACAACAACAACAACAACAACAATACAACAGCAACAACAACTAGAATTCTCGACGCATTCATTGCTCCTGATAAACTCATTCTTCCTTCCTTGTCAATACTATTAGGGTTTGGAATATAACTTGGTTGACCATGCTGAGACTTTTTTCCTGACGAATCATAAAAAATCATATAACCATCTACACTGAACAGTGGTTTACGTACAATATGCTACTTTGCCTCCTCTGGAATAAGGCATGTATAGGTTATGTTGTGAAAACGAAGGATCGTGGTGGATAGAATAAGTCTGCTAAGTCTAGGAGAAGACAATGAAGCCTTTGTAATGACCTTGTTAATAAATGTTGAAAGAGAACAAGATAATTATGAGATAGGGATACAAGGGTATAAATAGCAAACTAGCTAGCCATGTACTATGAGGGGTACACTCCCTTATTAACTGTATTGCATAGCTACTGTAACTGCGACTATTGCCATTCTCGACAGTTACCATATTGCATCGCGTAACCAATGATGCGGTTGCCGGACGGTCAACAGTCGCGACCATTGACTAACAGCGACTGTTGACTTTCGCGTGACTCTCGATCTTCTGCATGCTCTATATGAGCTATTGCGGTGTTGCTATAGACGCGTTGCTTCGTTATGAAGTGACGCGTAAGTGGAGATCCTTCGGGAATGTTATTTTAACCTTTTGGTTATTCCAACACTCCCCTTCATTCCTGAAGGTGAGCCACGTGGGATTTCTTCGAGATCCCGCAGAGGTTGGTGCAGTGCTGAAACTTCTGACGTGGCAACTTCTTGGTCAAGAAATCTGCTGCCATGTCACCAGTTGGGCAATACGTGAGTTTGACCTTGCCTTTGTCGATCTCGTCTTTAACGAAGAATTAACGGAGTGCGATGTGTTTCGTGCAGCTCACGAAGCCGGGCTTGTTCGCGATCTTGATCGTGCTCTGGTTGTCGCAGAGTAATGTGAAGTGCCCGTTCATCGTCACTT